TGTGTGTGTGTGTGTGTGTGTGTGTGTGTGTGTGTGTGTGTGTGTGTACATGCTCATATAGACATAGAAATATTCTTGTATTTATATATCTACCCATAGGATTTATACAAGCACAAAGGCATGTGGCACCATGTACCCTGATAATCCACACGACACACCCCGACGTACCATTCTCCTGAATGATGTCAGAGGCACACTGCTCCAGCACAGACATGTTTGCCAAGATGGTTACAATCTGGAAAATGAATTGAGAAACTATAAAATAGACATGCACGGTTCCCATGGTACTCTCCTTAGGCAGGTCAGCTGGGGGCTGAAGAGCTTCCATCCAGACTGACTCCTTACTGTCCATCTGTCCATCCTTCCATGGTATTATCTTCTAGTCTCACGGGCTTCTGCCACCCAAATATAAGCCTCAGCGACCAATGCCTATGAATCAGTGGGTGGCTCTGGGATGGTCATCTGAGGCCCCAGCAGAGAACAGTTTCACACTGGATGAAGCTGAGGCCCAGCTGTTTGACTGCAGGGGTCCTCTTAGCCTCACCCCCAAAACTCAGACAAAATTGGCAGGTGCCAGACCCCTTGCTCTCTTCTGTTCCCGTTTGTTTTTCTGACTCTTTGATTCATTTTTTTGTTTGGGTTCTCCTGTGACAATTTCCTTCCCTGTGTCAATTTTCTTCCCTGTGTCATTTACCTTCAACCTAAAAAGAATAAAGGCTGAGCTCAAGGCAGAGATCAGGCACAAAAGGTAGATGCTGATGGGAAAGTTTAATTTAACCACACCCAACAAGTCCCTGGTCTATAAGCCTCACTTACAGATCACCACCAAAGGACTTTGTCATTACTGGCATTCCACGGACATCCAGCCTTCTTTATAATCTATCTCTTGAGCTTTAACACATCGCAGTTACACAGCACAGTCAAGAGGCCTCAGTGAACTCACATCACAAAACTGAATTAAGGCATAGCCAGTAAGAGACCCAAACTGTAAACAGTGCTGATGAACAAACAGACAGAGAGACAAATAACTGAGAGTGGCAGTGTGGTACTCTGAACAGAGACAGCCTGTAACACTGTTCCTAACAGAAAGCACACGCTGCAGATGTGCCTGTCTCTCCAGATGCTGACAGCATGCACAGGTGGCGACTGAAGTAAATAGTAAAATCAAAAGTATTTCTCCCCACTATGAGTCCACTCCCCAGAGAGCTTCTTTCCAAGCTGGTGAGATGATCTAAGCAGGAACCATGCTTCTGCCTCTGAAATGGCAAGTGGTGGTTTGCAGAGGACAGGACAGGAGGCTTCAATCCTGAGGATGAATGGTAATGCAGTATTTGCCCAGAAAGAGCCTTAGCTGTATTTTAACTGGCTTAATTTTAGCTTATCACTCTCAATAATAAAGCGTCTAAAACAACTTTTAAAGAGAAAGGAAAATGTGTCGTCTTACTAATAGAATATTCCTCTGCCTTCTCAAGCAAGACACATGTTGACCATGAAGGCAGTATCTCTGCGTATCAGCCTCATCCTGCTCAGAGCTGGTCGGGGACTGGATGGTAAGTAGTGACTGGAGTGAGATGTTGAGGGAGGCAGGGAAGCCCCTCAAAACATTATTCTGCCATGCCCAGTGATTCATGGGAGGGATGGGAGGCAGATATCGGAAGTTCTTTTTCTCCTCTTTTAGGACAGGGAGTATTTGTGGGCTCAGAGAAAGAAGTCAGAGAGAAGAGATGGGGTATAGACTCAGCCCTCAAGTGGAAAGGTCCCCAAGAGCCCTAAAGTTCAGGCATAAGAGAGCTATACGGGGCCTGCCTCCATCAGAGTACCGTGCCTTTAGATGTCCCTGGGCTGTCAGTAACAGTGGAGCACAGCCTCTTCCCACCACACAGGGGCTGCCATGCCCCACCCATCACCAGAGAGGCATTTCTGTGTACAGACTCCTGTTTGACCCGTACATCCATGAAGAAAGGAAGGAAGAGAGGGAAAGAGGAAGGGAGGAAGGAAAATAAAACCTTTGTCTACGGCAACGGGTTCATTATATGGCAATCATTAGCTGAGTCACAGGCACCAGGTAGGTCTTTGTGTTGGACTAATTTAGATCCTGTTAATGAAAATTACTTCCTCCTTACAGAGACTGTACCCCATGTGGTTTTCTGAGGTGCAGATGAAGTAGTCAATTAAACACAATTTGAATAAATGCCAATTATACCCTGCTTGGAGCCTCCCTTTTGAAACACACTTGTATGCACTGTGATAGAGAGAGGAAAGAAGCCAATGTTTTCACCTAGAAGTTAGCCTCACAACTGGAGTTTTGAGGACAACTGGTTTACCTAGCTAGAAGCACACTGTCAATCCTACGTACAGTAAGTTATTCTTAGATTTGGAGTAATAGGAATGGGTATTTCTGTAGAGAATCATTTGGTATACCACAGGAGATTAAAAAATACATCATAAATCTATTATAAGCATTCAATGTGTCTTATCAATCACCCAGAACGCTTGTTAAATTGAACAAGCATAACATGCTTCGACGAGGCAGGGCCTGAAAGGACCCAGACCTTGAATAATTGATACAAGGAGCACTGGCAATGTGGCAGCCACATGAAGGGACTACACGTGGATGCTATAAGAGGTGCTGGCAATGAGAGATCCTCTCAAGGGAATAAAAGTCTCATATTTGGAGAAGCCTTTAGTGGTTCAACTGAGAATTGTCCACAAGCCTATAATTGAAGTCTCAGTTCCCAGCTGGTGAAACTGATTGAGAAAGAATAGGATATGCGTGGCCTAGTTGGAGGAGGTGTGTCGCTGGGGTGGGATTTGCAGTTTCAAAAGTCCACGTCCTTCCCATTCAACTCTGTGCCTCCTGGTTGTGGATTAACAAGTGTTCTGGGTGAGCTTTAAGCTACTGCTCCAGTGCCGAACTTGCCTGTCTGCCTGCTGTCATGTTCTTTGCCATGACAGTCACGTACTCCAACTCTTTGAAACTATAATCCCAGAATAAACTCTTTCTTTTATAAATTGCCTTGATCATAGTGATTTATCACAGCAATAGAAAAGCAACTAAGACAAAGCCTTTCCTGGCTAGAAACAACCAATGCCTTCAGTGGCGTTCTGAAATCATTTTTCATTTGGAATACAAAGGACTTAGGAGTTGAAGTAGATAGAAAATCGACCTAGATGAGCAAGGGATCACGCATGTCTCTGATTTGAAAATAAATGTTCCTGTTTGGTAGGATGTAGATTGGCTAAGTCTTCTGATGCCATCATACACACACACACACACACACACACACACACACACACACTGCTCGTCTTGTGCTCCTCACAGGCAGACATGAAGACATGGCCCGGGCTGTGTCACCTCCCTAGCAGTCTGAGCAGTCACTCTGCTGACCATACCATGACTCCACCAACATCCCTCCTCACCTCCTGTGCTGTAGGAATAGCCCTAAAGACTGCAATGTGAAATATTCTTGGAGCACCCAACGAAGACAGGTGCTCTGACCTGACAGGTCTTATGTCACAGAACATTTGGTGTACATTTAATGGTGAGTCATGGGGTCATGGGTACTTCTGTGTTGCCTAGGGATTGGGATAAAAACAGACAATGTTCACAAAACTGTAATTAACTTTTCTCTTTAATCAGAAGCAACAATGACATTGACCAACAATGTCAAGTATGGTTTTGGAATCCGCCCTCCCTCCCTCCCTCTCTCTCTCTCTCTCTATATATATATATATATATGTGTGTGTGTGTGTGTGTGTGTGTGTGTGTGTGTGTGTGTGTGTGT